GAACCCTACAACTTTTGTATAAAACATTTTTTTCCATCTTGCTTACTTTACGAGATATTTGCGTGCGTTGATTAAAATGACTCACCCTGTATATATATATATAATTTTTTAATTATTTTTAGCGCTTTCTCCTTTCATATTTTTCCTTTCACATACTTACTGATAACATAATATTTGTACTTATAAATCCATTATGAGTAATCTCAGAAATTTTCAATCGATTTAGACTATTAGCATTAAACAGAGCACATTATGTAAATGTACTGATTCTAATGAAATAACAGTAAACGACTATTGCTCAATATGAAAATGAATAGAAGCATGAGAGAAAGCTGAAGTAAAAAAAAAATGTAATAAACAGAAAAATATTACCTTAAGAATCAAAGCATTTCGTGAAATATTTCGAGAAAAATAGCAATAGTTTTTTAACCCTTAAAGGTTGCATAAGGATTATTTTGATTCTTATACGACCGATATTTTGACAATAGAATATCCCGAAGGCCTTAATGAATAAAAAAATTTTGTAACTTTTGACGTGCATGATCATTTTCTATAGATGTCAAGAAATATATGTAAATTTTTGTAGATTTTTTCACGCACTTTGAGACAGCTAATATTGCGATAAGACATATGACTTGTGATCCGTATGTAACCAGAAAATGTGTAACCTACAAGAGTTAATATAGATTATATATTAATGTAGATTATCTATAATATATAATAGATTTAATGGTATCACTTATCAATTATCTTATTGTTAGAGCCATTTTGTGCAATTATTACTATATTATGGCATTAATAATTTTTTATATAAAACTATAACAAGCCGAGTTTGTTAATTAATATTTATGTCTATTATATTACCATTATCACTACATCAATGATTCAAGCGTCTGCTTTTCGTAGTCGCGTTATATAATCGACATTGTTTATCGTTAACATGTCATTGTACTATTAAAGAAAAAATCCAAATAGGTCTCATATTTTTCCCCTTTCTTTCTTTTTCTTCCTATGTATGAAAATACGTCTTACTTTCCCATGAAAAATTTTATCTATAGAAATAACTTGTGATGATTCAGTCTTCTCTTAAATGATCGCTGCTATCTCGAAAAAGGTTAGCTGCTTTCCAAGGAACGGAAATATTTGTTTAAAGCTGTGATATGCCCTTATCGTTATAATCTCGCGAGTCATTTGGATAACGAAACGCTTAATTTAGCGCGCTCTAAGGAAGGGCTCGAGTTGAATCGCTAATTGCACGCTCTTGTTCGTTAAAAAGTTTGCATATATTGCACGTCTCTGATACACATTGGCGCGTTCAGCTATCGCAGCTTATTGTTTCCAACAGCGGGATGCCGAGGGGTACCTCGTATGAGCCGCCGTATTTACGACGGACAGGTAGCGGATTCTTTTGTGCAATCGCGATACGTTATGGTCTCACATATAGGCATGGTACGCACGTCGTCTGCACGTAGAGCCGGTCATGGGAGAAACGCGACGGAGGCCGCACGCGGAGCGTGGTTGCGGTCGGCAACCTGTCGGGAACCTGTACGGATTTAATGCCGTCGTCGTGGAGAGAGCGTCTGGAATTGCGGGCTCGTCGTGTCATCTCATCTCACGCGTCACTTCTTCGCGAAGCGAATTTTGCACATCGCGTTTTTCGTGATCACATGTGAGAAAAATTTTTGGGACTTTTTAAATCTTTAGCCCCATAGAATGTACATTTATGAAGCAAGCGTGAACAATACAATGGAAAATTTCTTAAACTTGGAGTATGCTTAGCCGTTAAAAAAGTTCTGTGATTTATGACTTTCTTTTATGACAACATTGTATATTTTTCTAAATATCCTTGAGTTAAAACATAAAAGAGAGAAAGTGTGTTTTTAGACCCTAATTTTTTATATATACTATCCCCAAATTCCTTTAAAACATATTTTTATTGTTATTGAAAGAAGATAATTTTATTGATGGGCAACATGTTTTCCTAAATATCCTTCAAGTTAAAACATAAAAAAGAGAAAGTATATCTTAGACCCTAACTTTCTATGTACATACATTGCCCCCAAATTAAAATTCCTTTAAAGCATATCTTTATTATTATTAAAAGAATATAATTATTAATGGTAGTTTTTCGATTTACTCAGAATTCGATAAAATTTTTGATTCACAGAAAGTTCTTTATGTTCAATCGCTGACAATTTAAAAATGATAAATATCTTTTCATTAAAATTATTTAATCGATATTTTTCGCGTAAGAATAGTGTGATAATATTCTAAATTGAGAGAAATAGTTCTTTTTAAAACTAATTAAAGACCAATAGATAACATTGTATAATGTTAAATAAAAAAAAAGAAAAGAAAAAGGAGCCGATATATTATTAGAGGGCAGATTAACCATTAATGACCCTTACATAGTCTTACGAGACAACTCGTCATTTTATAGTTATGCCACGATTTCATCTTCCATCGTATTACAATATTGTAACGCGCGCAAGCGTGCTGTTCGGTTATTATGAATCTATTACGTGTCCGGCCTTTTGAACGTAACCCAATAACAACTTCCTTTCGTTGCGCGATGCATTTCCGAAAGAATTGCAATCCCACATATGTGCTCAATAATATGCCTTTTTGTGTGTGTGTGTGTGTGTGTGTGTGTGTGTATATGTTTATGTTCTATACTTTACAAAATAAAATTATTCTTGATATTTTGATGATATCTCTGTAAAACTGATTATAATAGATAACTTTTTTACAAAATATATCGAATTATCAAAATATATCAATTATCATTATTACAACTTCATATATAATGTAGAATTTTTACGATGATATAATTCAAACCTATAAAATTAATTGTTTAGTTTGAAAGCTGTTGATGTTAGTAATGATGTATCAAAACTAATGTCACAAATATTGCATGCATTTGTACGATGAACGATCCTGGAATTTTTAAACTTTGCATAATCATATAAACGCCTACGTTTCTCTTTATCATAGAGAGTTGTTCGTCGAATTTTCCACCCGCGGAAAATCGATTAGAAATTTTCCGAAACGGAACGAATCACGTCGCATGTGAAATCAGTAGAGGCATCCTCGAGGATGACTGATTGTTTACGCCAGGATTATTGATATCCACGAAAGCCCGCAATTCTAGGTCGCTGGAGCTCTTTGTGGGTGTATGATCCGCCACCTTATTATCATTGTTGTGTCGCGACATATCGCGCCATCGTTCCGAGACGATAAATTAGCGCTTGTCATTCTTCCGGCATTGCGACACTGATGACCGAGCGTCTCTCGTGGTCCGCGTCGAAGCCCTTGACATATAATGTTGTGCAACTCATAGCGGTATGGAAAAAAAAAAACGACATCGATAGCGTCGCGTTACATCACATCCAAGGGCTGCTCGACAGGCGTATGAACGTTTCTTGTGAATCTTCGTCGATGGAAACAAAAAAACATTAATCAGCAATGCGTCATTATACACACGGGATATTAATGTGTTGATTATAGGTACTTTGGCTGAAGATTACCAATGTTTTTTCTAACTCGAGTTAAAAAAAGTACGTTTCGTTATGGATTTGCTAATAATATAATATTGAATAATGAACAAAAATATTCCTTTTGTACAGATTTATGAATATGTTCATTTCCAGTTAACTTACGTTTCATATATCTTACAACCAGATATAGTTTCTACAACTTTTTGATATATATTGAGATGTGTCGGGTACCGCAACGAGTCGCGACACTCCTGATAAGTGGGGGATCGGTGCTCTCGACCGAGCTATATGTTGCAT